GAATGCTCATTTCATTTATAGTACCATACGAACTACAATGTTCATCTATCTTGATTTGGCAAAAATAAGAAAAAAAATATATACATTGTCACATATTATAGGTTGTTAGACTTGTTACATTGTATAATTCTATTATTTATTTAAGGATACTTTGAAATAGTAATCACTTATCACAATAATTGACATTATTCATGTTGAGGATTGGATTGCATCGATATACTCTCTCTATTTATTTATTTATTTATTTATCTACTTTTTGCTGTTATATATTGAATATCAAAGCATAGTTTTGATCATCGACGTATTTTTTCATTAATTGTAAATAAAATTATATAAAATGAAACAATTTATTATAATAGTATACTGAGACAAATCCAACAGTACTTACAAAGAAAAAATATTTTTTTTTGTATGCTAGTAGAAAAAATGGTTAAAAGTAATGCGAGTAAGACATATGCATGGTTATAGAGGAAGTAATCATCACAACTACGTACAGTTGTACAATAAGATGAAGTGAGCAGACTAAGCACATAAAAAAAAAAAAAAAAAAAAAAGAAGGAAAAAAAAAACAACCATTTTACAATAAAATTAGTCATTAGAGGACCTATTTCATGATTGCTGCAAAAAATTTAGTTAATTAGCTAGGGGCCTAGGGGTAATGGCTGCATTTTCATATATAGGAGCAATATTGTCTAGGAGTGTAGAGATTAAATGGCCAATGGTCATGGCTGATTGTATACTTAATCAATAATTAGAAGATTCTTAATTATTTTATGATTATACTTATAATTAAATTATATTTAATTTATGTATGTCATATTCATAAAATTGAGCAACGCAAGAAAATGCTTGACCAATTTCATCCATAGTTTATAGATCATGTCATACGGTAATTTTTTTTTTATATGTTATTTAGGTTTTTGACATGTGAAAAAGTTGATACTTCTATAAGATTAAAATAGTTCATAGAGGCTAAGTGGTTTGGGGTGGTTGAAAATAGGATTTCGTACAATATAATTGACTCATCATAGAAAAAAGCAAAAGATAGGGCCGATTACATGTTAGTTTTTAGTACTAATTACATGCATGTAAAATATGGACCTTAGAATAATTCAAGGACATGGAGTTGGAATTCACATCAAGTTTGACAAACTTATAAATATTGTATAGTGGTCGTTTGAAATATGACAATTATAATGTTTTAATGATTATATAGTTTATAATTGACGTATTTTTCTCCAAATAATTAATTATATTACTTTATTTTTGCGAGTATAAAATATTATTATCAATATTTTTTAAATTTATCAAAGTTTTAGTTTCATTTATATAACTTTTACTCTTATTTTATAGTTTCTCGAAAAATATTTATTTTATGTTGGATTAAAATTTTCAAATATTATATTTGCACTGTAGATATTAGAATACTAATTTGTCCAATTTATAGTGTAAAAAAATGGATCGCTCATTTGTTTATCATTAGAATGATATGGTAGTTATATTTTAAACGACCGTTGTGATCTGGATCAATTTTTTTATTTTATATATATATATATATATATATATATTATATAAGATTAGACTCGAGTTTGGGTCAAGTCTAAATCATATGAATCTTGGTTTAGCTCAAGTTTAATTAGAATGAACAAGTTTTGAAGTTTAGATGATGTAGTAGTTTGAAAATTTTAGTCGAATTCTACATATATACTTTTCATCAGTTTAAGATGGAATTTATGTAAAACTTAGATAGATTGGTCATTAACAATTTTATGTTTAAAAAAGATCGACTAATCCCCCGTTTTTTAACATAATCTATAATTTTATTAAAAAATATATATCAATAAAGGGTTGATACATTATCATTATCAATACTTCTTCATTCATTTCTAATTGATATTAGCACTTATTGAATTATTTATCACCCTAAAATTGACATTATGTTTATTTTTTAACAAAATAAAATAAGTCGTCTTATCGTCCGTTGGCCAATGTTGAAACATGTTGCACAATCATGTAAATTCGCACATGCAATCATGCCAAAAGAAAACTACAACCCTAAAATTGTTATGTTTATTTTTTAACAAAATAAAATAAGTCGCCTTATTGTCCCTTGGCCAATGTTGAGTTGCACAATCATGTAAATCGCACATGCAACCATGCCAAAAGAAAACTACAACCCTAAAATTGTAACGATAGCACCACCTAGAAATACCCTCAACCCCTCAATGCAAGCACAGTACAACGCGCGCACACACATACACCACATATGTTGATTGGCGTTGTAGCAAGTACATGTGCATGCATCAATATGATGTGGATATACATATATACGTACCAACACAAATAAAACAAGCACAACATGTAGTCAAGCTTATGTCCCTGAAAATCCAATTACATTGAAATAAATTTCACCATTACTTTACCTAGCTAACTAGGTACAATAAAGCAGGACATTGTACTACATGTACAATTAAATTTATTAACTTCATGATGAATATATACTGATATATAATACTAAAATGGTAAACCTAACTTACTAATTCTGTCAAATTAAGTGGCTGTCGTGCTTTTGTTTTTATTTAATTTATAGATGGCGTGTATAAAATGTATGTATACAATTTATGAGATAAGATATAAGGTCTAAAATTTACTTGTATAAGATAAGATAAGATGCAAGAAATATCACATATTTATCACGTATCACTTTATGCTCCAAATTTTAGTGTAAGATAAGATGTAGGGACTATCATAATTTTTGACTGATCAATTGATTGCATTTTCATGCTTTGGTTAAATACGTAACTTCGCCAACCATTTTATTGCTTTACGTTCTAAATATGAATACTTTATTTTATTATATTTACCACAAAATTGAAAAAATTCAACAGCCATCAACTTTAAAACTAATAAACTATTAAGGGAAAAAGTATTAAAAAACTAACTAATAAGGGAAAAAAAAAATTATAGCCAATAAAATTAGTGGCCCATCAAATTTATGATAATGATCTCATCGATTCTATGACGTGGAAGAGATCATATTTAGCACATATATAAAAATGAAATATTCCCTTATATTCCAAAATTTGGATTGTCTTATCAGGAAATTATATGAATTTTTAAATAGTAGATCCAATAATTGTGGTGTAACTTGTAATGCATTGTAAATTAAGCAATTTTGGAATAATTTGATGACTATAATTGAGCATTTGAGTTAAAGGTGACTTGATGAAATTCTCTCAAAACAGATAAAAAAAATGATTTGACAAAAAATTTGGATAGTGAAACTTCTATAATGGTAGTCAAATGAACTAAGTAAAGATACAAGATTTGGACGAAAGCTAAGTATGCTTTGACGGATTATTAGATTAATACTACTAATACAAAGAGTTCTTCTTAGAATGAACTCTATGTAATTGTTTACTCGATTTGCTCCCATTAATTTGCTAAATGACACTTTGTGTGTGATTTATAATTAAAGAGCGACAAGTACAGATCAAATTAAAAAAAAAATGGATGATGACCAATAGTGAAGGACCTAGGTAAAGAGAAAAATTAGAATGAAAAAATTTAGCCAGTAAAGAGTTCTCGGATTGTTAATTGATTTTGAGATGGAATCTCATATAGGCTTGATTGGGGCTTGATTGGTTCTAAATTTAAAGTTACTTATATATACAAACATGCAAGCCAATACAAGCTTCAATTGACCTCAAAATCAATTGGCAAACAATCGTTAATACCACTATCTCATACTCTTTTAATAATGTATGATTTTCAATATTATGTTTCAAAGAAAAGGATAAGTATTCATATGAATACATAAATTTGTTGATCCATACACACTTACTTTAAAGTTTAAAGTATAACCTTTTCTCTCTCTATCTAATTCCCTTTATGTTTTACCTACTTTTCCTAAGCATTTCACTATCAACTCATCATATTGTTTATTCCAAGTTTATTTAACAACTATTCTTAGTTTCTTACATGTACGTGATTTGAAATAATAGTGGGAAAATCTATGTAAAAGTAAAATTATGGAAATAGCAAAACTATGGAAATAACTGGTTTTTATCTATGCCTAGTTTTTCCATTGTTTGGTTAGTATTCAAGGACAAATATTGAAATTAGTAAGAATTTTAGATTTCCATAGGTTTTCACAATATTTTCCATTGATTGGAACTATTGGAAGGAAAACTATGGATAAATAAACGGTCCAACTAAAACTACAAAATTTTCCACATATCTTTACAATTTTAATTTGCTGTCTTATTGTTTTCTTTTTCAATAAACAAACAAGATAACATTTGGTTAATTCATACATTTTTACACTTTTACTTAGTGTTTTCATCAATGTTAGTTTCTTACCAACCATATTGTTAATCTATGCGTGTGTAGTAAACTTAAATTCGTACGTTTTGTGGATGGAGAAGCTTTTTTGGATATGAATTAATTTTTTTCTTTTTATCTACAAACACACTATACATGATTAGTATAAAGAAAGAACGAGCACACATGATACACAAATAATTGAATAGTGTGGTATTCACATGATCACATATAGAGGCCAGTGTTTTTCAAAAGTGTAGAAAGGGATCTATTATGTACTATATTAGCTAGAACAAAATCATAAGATTACAGAGAAAAGAGCATAATTATTTGACCCTAAATGACCTATAAAGGTCACTAATTAATTTATTTTTTTGTAGGTTGTGTTATATGGCATGGACAAATTTGTACCCTACGTAGTACTGCCAAGCCATTTACCACGTGGAGGGACCCTTACACAATTTCTTTAAATTGACATTTAAATAATCCAAACCACGAAATTTCTCTATTTTTTGTTATAAAATAATAAAAATAAAAAATGTTGCTTAAGTTAAATTAACTACTACTCATACTCATAATACATCAAAAAATTTCCCAACGACTCTTATTTACTTGAATGCCATTACTACATACCAAGTCTTACTACTACATCACTTCTCTACTACTATAAATAGAACAACAATGTAAGGTATCTTCATTCAGTTCAACTACTATCAATAAACTTCATCCTTCCTCCTTCCTCCTTCCTTTTCGCGATTTTATTCTTATTTTCCCACTATCTCGTAGAAAATATGGGTTCTCTAGCTGAGACCAATGCTGCGACAGGGAGGACAACCGTGCATCGTTTAATAGCTGAGGAAGGATCAGTATTGATGCCGGGTATCCAAGATGCCTTCTCCGCTGCCATTTGTGCCAAAACCGGCTTCAAAGCTTGCTTTGTCTCTGGTTTTGGTGTTTCCGCCGCCCTCCTTGGCTTGCCAGACTTTGGCTTGCTCACGTATGTTTCTTTAATTTCCCTTGCCTTTCTTAGTTCTTTTACGTACATAATGATTAAATGTAAAAATTTTGGTGTTACATATAACATGCTAGGTTAGTAACTCTTTATTTTACGTGCCAGTTAAATGCATACGATGTCAGACATTATAATATGCCTAAAATGCCTAAAGGTATAATATGTTCGTACATTCCACATGATTGATTTATTAAAAATTTAAAGATAAGGGGTTATAATATGTTTGCTCTCTTAATTGTAGACCGTAGTACCAACTAGTACCAATTATTGTTCTTTAACTTTTTGGTAAAAGTAATGGGAATGTTTAGACGTACGTTGACTTGGATGGAATTTTACAAAAGCAAAATTATTTTGCTCCCCACTTTCAAGAAATATAGTAGTTTTCTTTTTAAATCTATAATTAATACGATTAATAATATTACTATTATCATTATATTTTGATAGAAATGGAAATTATCACATGTAATCACATGCATGGATGATGGGTAAATCAAGAAATATTATGAAGTAATAATAATAATAAAAATCAAGAATAGAGAACATTATTCTAGTAGAAAAGTTTAAATTAATTCATAAATCTTGAGTTTTTATACATAAATATATATTTTTTTAAATTGAATAATGAAATATGCAAAATCACTCATGCTTTGTCGCCTTTATGTTTGTATTTAGTGGGTGTATAAGTGGACTTTAATTAATTGTTTTTATTTTTGGTGTCTTAAAAAATTTTATATTCTCTTTGTCGTTTTAAATATTGAAAAAAATTTGCCCCCACAATGATAGATATTCGTTAATGATTAATTTTGTTAATGCTGCAAAATAAGTCATTCATTGAAACTACAAACTAGTCTAACGTTTCTATAGAAAAAGAAACCTGTGACTTATAGAAAAATAATTAGGTAGGATTTTACTAAATTTCTTTGTATTATTTTCGATAAAAATAGGTTTATTATTTATATTAATAAAGTCACAATAACAAAAAAAAAATCATCATTTTAAGCATTTGTAGCAATTGTTAACACGAATAATATTGTGATACAGAACCGCAGAAGTTGTGGAGACTGTAAGCAGAATTACCGCTGCTGCTCCAAGTTTGTGCGTCGTTGTTGATGGAGGTAAAAAAAAAAAAAAAAATTTAATTTTATCCTTTCGTATTGTATTATTTTAGATTAATATAAAGTCACTAAACGAGTAATTTCTTGATTTATTACGACAGACACCGGAGGTGGTGGCCCCCTTAATGTGCAAAGGTTCATTAAGCAGTTGATTGCTGCTGGTGCCAAGGGAGTCTTTCTTGAGGTAAAAAGCTTTCCATGTGTCATTGTTACATTTATTGGTATAAGACAAGAAGTTAAATTAAAATAGGATTAGGTTTTTTTTAAAATATGATTAGGTAATTGAGCAATATCTGTAATTTATGTAATTAATAAAGAAAGTGACACTAAGTACGTACTAATCAAATGCATTAACTTTATTTATATATATTGTGACTTGTATTAATTAAATGAATTTTTACTTCTCCACAGGATCAAGTGTGGCCAAAGAAGTGTGGTAAGTACTTTCAACATTTACCATTTTTTTTTTAACAATATGGTAATGTAATTAATTAGTTGATTACTTAAGATGGACCTTAATTAATCACATCTTGTTCATTTTATTTTATAGGTCATATGCGTGGTAAGAGTGTTGTACCTGCTGAGGAGCATGCCCTTAAAATTGCAGCAGCAAGAGAAGCCATTGGTGATTCTGATTTCTTCTTGGTAGCAAGGACTGATGCTAGAGCACCCCATGGTCTTCAAGAAGCCATTAGACGCGCTAACCTTTACAGAGAGGTACGCATCATTTTAGACCATATTTTCCCATTAACAAGTATATAGAATGTCCGGAAATAATTTTCAAATTAATAATTTTTTTATTTACTATTATGTTAATAGTCTGGAGCTGATGCCACCTTTGTCGAGGCACCAGCTAACATCGATGAGCTCAATGAGGTTGTGAATGGTGTCAAAGGTTTGAGAATCGCAAACATGATCGAAGGTGGAAAGACCCCATTGCACACACCAGCAGAGTTTAAGGAAATGGGATTCCACTTGATTGCTCATTCACTATCAACAATCTATGCTACAACCAAAGCTTTGGTTGAAATTATGAAGGTTCTTAAGGACAAGGGTACCACTAGGGATGATTTGGACAAAATCGTTACATTCTCCGAATTTAATGACATGATTAGCTTGGAATCTTGGTATGAGATGGAATCAAAGTTCAAGAACTTCACCCCAAAATCATTGGAATCCTAAAGAAGTGGTTATCTTGGTCCAAGTTGATTATTTCATAATACAAGAATTGAAATTCAAACACGCTATTATGTGAATTAGTTTGCCAAATAATGGCAATAGAATTTGTGAGTTGATTTTAATTCATGTCATTGTTACTTATTTGATATTTGTTTAAAATAAAAATGCATTTGAGTAATGTTGTAAGCTTGATTACTAGAATGAAAGCGAGTTTAGATGCATTGTAATCTTTTATTCTTGTTCAAAATAGTAAAATACAACCTAGAGTTGTCTTTTCATATGAAATGAATAAATTATTGTTACCAATTTTCTTTAGATTTATAATGAGCCAATGCTTTACGAATTGTTGATCTATCAAATTCTAACAAAATCTTTTATAATACGTTGTTGCATTTACGTATGTAATAGTGAGGTGACTAGTTCAACATTGATGGTTTTTTTTTTTTTTTTTTTCTTTTTCTTTTTTTTCTTAGTCGTAAAATTTAATAATTTGAGATAAATTACTGCGACAATATTCTACTCACAACTTGGACCACTTGATAATTTGGTAGTTGGTAGTTTGGTATGTAGTTATGTACCAACCTCGTAAAAACATAAAAATAAAAAATTATCCGGGCACTTCAATTACTATCTTCATGTTAAAACACTTGCGTTATAAATTCAACAAATCAACAGGGTAAAATCCCTCATGATTGGAACTTCCAAAAAATTTGGCTCCTGATTTTCAGGTGACTTCGCTTTGATTTATTATTATTACTAGTTTTGTGTTCGGGCAATGTCCAAATGTTTGATAAAAAACTTTTTGGCTTGAATGTTAAATACGGTCATATAATCCTTTTTGATAATGCAAGATATTTAGACATACGATATTATATCGCTTATTTATATAATAGTATACTTTTTAAAAAATATATTTAATTTATAAAAAAGATTACTCAAATAGTATAAAATAAGACATCTATGTTATTATTGACTTGAAATTATTTTGAACTTAAATTATTTTACTAAACTAAAAGTATTTTCACCAAATTAAAATTATTTTAACTGATTAAACTTATTTTTACTAATTCTCTCTTAATTTTTAAATAAATTAACTTTATAATAAATGGATCTTATTTTAAGAACTTTTTAAAACGAATTAAATGATGAAAATAGAAATGAGTTATAGGATATTTATTAAAACTTATGATTAATTTTGTATATATGAAATATTAGAAGTATATCGATAATAAAACTCTATATAACAATTTTATCTTAAAAAGGTTATCCAAAATTCGCTTACTTAGCTTCATATGTGTCACAATAAAACCTATTTGTCGCCTATGTGGCGCAACACTTGGCGAAAAACTGGAATGTCAAGTGTCGCTAGCTCGTGGCCTGGTTGCGAGACTGGCTTCATTTATTAGTGATATGATTAGATTAGTGCCCGTGCAATGCACGGTAGTAATAATCTTTATCCCATAATTAATTGTGATATAATATAAAAATGAGGCAACTCATGTGGAATAAACAAATGCAATGCATATAGAAAAATAAATAATAGGGCAAAAATTATCAAAACTACATTTGAGAAAAAAATAAAATTAATGTTGTTTTTTTGTGTTGAATATATTTAAAAGTAGTATATATTATGTTACATTAATGATGTATATTATTCCCAATAAAATATACAATCTAGTGACTATATGACTAAACACTTATTTATAAATGTCTTTTAATAAACATGAAAATATTAATCAAACAACATAATAAAATCTACAGTTAAACTATTAGCACAACATATATGCAAATATATAAATTACAAATAATATAACACTTTAATTTATATCTAATAAAATAATTTCAATGGAAATAAATACTACTCAGATCATCAAAAGCAATAGTAATCCACAATTAGGCAACACTAACCTATATTATTAATAGTACATTTTCTGTTTATGAATTGATGCTCTACATAATATCGTCACTCTTTATTATTATATAAAAATGTGTTTGAAGCTATCCAATAATTTTAGTTTGATCCTTGTTTGTTTATTGCCTTGAAAGTTTATTTGTAGATGATAGCTATTTATCGAAAAAAAGGATACACAAGAATGAAGATGCCACCTGTCACTACGTCCGACGTGTCTTTTACTATGCAACTTATTTGTAATTTCGAATGTTAGAAATTTAGGATCTCAATAAAATATTTAAGCGCAAAAGGTAATAATTTCTTATGGTATTTACTAATATATTAATTTATTTAATTACATAATAACAAAATTTGATTGATATTTCACATTTTTCTAGAATTAGACATATGATATAGTTGTCGAACCCAACATTTATATTATTATAGTTATATCTAATAATACTCCATTAGTCTAAGAAACAAAATATAAGAGGTATTTGAAAAAAAATATATATATTAAAGTGATGTTTTTAAGTAATTTCTTTAATATTATTACTTTTTGGGCAAAATTCAATAATACTACGTCTAAAAGATGTCTAGACGGTAAAGATAGTATATTTTCCGGTGACTAACCTTTTTATATTAAATAAAGAATTGGAATAATATTTTAGGTAAATGTGTATGGAAGAATTAAGAACACGGAAAAAAAAAACATTTTTTGTAAAATAATAAATAAGATATGGAATAATATTAATATAGTTATATTATACAAATATTCCAAAAATCAAAGTTTTTTTTGGTAAAAGGGGAGGGGGAGTTTTGGAAGGAAAAAACAGCACCAGGAAGTGACACGTGTCATTCCTAGTGTCTGTTTTAGTATTATGTTATTGACTAGATTAAGTCCTGTGCTACGCACGGTTTTTACAAAATTTTATAACAAATTATACTATTAATTCAAAATCTACCAAAAAAATAATCCTTGTATTTTTAAATGAAATTGAAAAAGTTTGAATCTTAATTTATACCCATAATTGAGCCCCAAATTCGGATTAGACCAAACGGTGAACCAGGTAGAACACCAAAAAAAAAGTAAAGATATAGAACAATAAAAATATGGAAAATATATGAATATTTTTTCAGGAAGTGAATCACAATTATATGATTTGGTTAATATTTTTTTAAAAAAAGTGAATTACAATTATATAAAGAAGTGATTTTTTTTTTTTTATTTTTTTTTTTTGAAGTGAATAAAAATAAAAAAAAAACAAAGAAAAAAAAATTGGAGGGAAAAAAACAACACCAAGAAGTGACACGTGTCATTCTTGGTGTCTGTTTTAGTATTATGTTATTGATTGATTATAATGTTAATTCAAAATTTACCAAAAAATAATTCTCATATTTTTAAATGAAATTCGAATAAGACCAAACAGTGAACCAGGTAAAACACCAAAAAAAACAAACAAGTAAAAGATATAGAATAATATTTTATACAATAAATATAAAGAAAATATGTTAATATTTTTTTACGAAGTGAATCGCAATTATATGATTTGGTGAATATTTTATTCAAGAAAGTGAATTATAATTATATAAAGAAGTGATTTTTTTTAGGAAGTGAATAAAAAAACAAAGAAAAAAAAGGTTTTTGAGGGAAATAAATAGCACCAAGAAGTGACACGTGTCATTCTTGGTGTTTGTTTTAATATTATGTTATTGATTGATTATTGATTAATTAGTCTATATTATAATAATAATAATAATAATAATTATTATTATTATTATTATTATTATTATTATTATTATTTATGCTTTATTTGTTTTGTGAGAGCAATGATTAATTTTAATTTTATCAAAGAAGATATACACGGTGCATGAAACAAAACTAACTTAAAGTATATTATCAATTGACATGATAAACTATCAAACTAATTAAGACATGATATATAGTAGCAATTGAACGTTTCTAATTTTTTTTTTTTTAATTTTATTATTATTAAAGAATCTAAACCACACATTATGCGTTTTTAAATTGTTCATAAAACTTTGGAACGTGTCCAAAATTGAAAATTGTATCACTACTCCATATTATTTAGGCATACGCATATTTGATTTTAAAATTGTAGCTATGTCATTTTCTGGTTGAAAATTTTCCCGCCTTTGTTTTCTTTCCTTTTTTTTTTTGGCCAAATTTTAATGACATCCATTTTATAACCTACAATAATATTTATTTTCATTTTGACAACATATTTAATCCAATTATACTCAATTAATTTTATTTTTTTCATATATTCTACTGGATACACTAGGAAACTTTTAGTAACAAAATTACTAACATAGATTAAAAATAAGGTATTGTAATATATTATTATCCAAGCTTATTATAATAATATCAAATTTTTTTTCTCCAACTTTGACAATTAAATTTATTTTAATCAAAAAAAAAAAATCATTTTGGTAGCATACTTTGTGTAAATCTTGAAATTTTACATACATATATATATATATTTATTAAAAATCCCTACTACTTGATTAAGGGATTTTTATCCACCAATCACCATCTGACACGTGGACCAACCAGGTTCCGCCACGTGTCCTTCACGTAGGCCAATGGGAGCCTGCCACATGAACCATATATTCGTCCACCATGGACCAGCCGCGACGCGACGCGTGTCCTTCCCATGACACATGGGAAAATGAGCCAACAAGGCCCAATCCTTGTTGGAGGCCCAGTCAGCCCTAGGTTTAACCTAAACCTAGAGAGTGGCACGCTTCCCAAGGTTATAAATACCTTCATTAGTCCTCATTAAAGGGGATTACACACATTAAACACTCTCACCTAGAGAGACCAAATTACATTATTTCTGCATTAATTACTCCTTAATCAAGTACTAACTTGACCGTTGGAGGCGAATCTCCAATCATCCGGAGCATCCGTTTGTTTTGCAGGTACAGGCGTCCGGTTCCAGTCTCAGAATTGTAACTCTCACGCAGGACATAAAAAAACCCCGAAACATTTTGGCGTCGTCTGTGGGGGGAGTACTTTTGAGATGGCATCTACGTCTGTACCGACTCCTGAAGAGAGGCGTCCCCTGGACGACCCTCAAGTTCAGTCGGACCATGATACTAAAGAAGAGTTTGAAGTTGAAGCTCATACAGCTTCAGACAGGACCCTAAGGGCCCGGCGCACCCGTCATACCGAAAGGAGAGGACGGGAAGATCCTCAAACTGGACTCAGTGATCCAGTCGGGGCACCACCTGCTCAGCAGCAGCCAGCTGATGGGTCTGCTCCCATTACAAGGAACGAACTCATGACCTTCATGAGGGGCTTCAAGGGAGAGATTCAGGAGCTGATTAATAAAAAGACGCCTGCTCTGGCCAAGGAGCAGTCGGCTAAGAAACCTTCCTCTTCAGGGAAGAGGAAGCC